ATTTCGATTAGGCACTGCATTTTTCTCCCCCTTAGTTGAGCTTGTATCATCCAGTAATATAGATCCATCACATCCCTGCATTTCGAAAAATGAAAAAAAATGCTATCTGCAGTAAGCTTCAGCAGACACTAAACTGTTACATTCAAAATACTTGCTAAGGTAGAAATATCAACATTTTTTTTTTTTTGTAAGATGCAATGAGTATCATTGGGGTTAGAAGTTGAGTGAACTCTCATACCCTAAAGTTTCATAAAGTTGTTTAACTTTATACCTTATAATGACTATTATCTTTTACTCTTTTTCCATGCTCACTCAATAACAGACTAATGAATTGAACTTAATTTAAAAAACAGAAGGCAAGAGGAAAGACGAAATTAACAAAATTACATTAACAAAACAGTCATGGAAGTGAAGCCGCAAAAGAGAGGCAGCCATCCTGGTCTCATTTGAAACAGCTGACAGAACACCTGATCGAACAATTGGTATCAGGCCGGGACAAGTTTTAGCATAATAGTTATAATCAAGTTGACAGGACACCAAAGCACTGAGGAACAAGAGGCAGAACAAGTAAAGAAAGGGAAGTTTATTAGAATTTTGCTCCATATCTTCAAAGCAAATGGAGTAATTTGCTCACTAAGTCACCAGGATTGTGTGACAAGCAGTCAGAAGTTCGGGCAATTTATACACAAAAGCAACCAAAGGATAAATGCAAACTGCTAATTTTGATTAAGATATCTGAACTTGAATAGTGGCAAAGTCACTTACGTTGTCACTATCAATGAGTTTGGCACAATTCCATAAATATTGCTGATGGTGAAAGAACTCAGCTAATCCCACTTCATGAAAAATTAAAATTTCTCTTAGTGGCTTGATGATGTATTCCTCTTAAGAACAACAATGGTGGCCTCTAGCCAGTTCCTACACGCTCAACTTTGACTTAAATTGTCATATGGTAAGAAAAATTTCACTTCAGAGAGATGGTTGTCACTCTCTTTTTGGTCATTAGAAGCTTCATCCTCGAGACAAATTGTAGTTTCCACGATAACAATTATCTCTTTTTGTTAGAAATCATATTTTTATTGCCGAAAGTCCACTATATAAGTGTGTTAATTTGTAATTTAAGTAGTAGAATATGCGCATGCAGTTTAGATGGGGGCTGGTGAGACGAATCCATCGAAGACTTGGATACAAGATTTTTCCATACAAGTAGGGTAAAAAATATAGTAGTTAAAAAAGAGCTAAACTACATAAACCAGAAAGTGGGAGATGGGGCCAGCCATTTGACTAGGAGAGTAATAGATTTAATTAAGCTTTGCAAAACAATTGGATATTTTAACCCTTTTGCAAGAGCCAGTTCTTTCTGATAATCTTCATAACAGCCCTTAATCTCTAGTTTGATTAATATAGAACAATACTGATTTATATATTACAGGCAAATCAAAGTAAAGATAGTTGTCCCCTGACTCTTCTCTTCAATGCAAGCTTGACTCAGATCTTTTACTGGGGTCTGTTTGAGAACCTGAAACATGAATTACATTGTTCTTGTTACAAATTTTTGGCATGGATTCAATTGGTCACTTATTAAAACAAATACTTTCGAGGGAAAAAGTATCAAAAATTTATTTTTGCCGCCTAGGTTTTGGAGGACTCTACTTTATTATATATATAGTCAAACAGTCGCATCTCATGTTGGATTCCAATGTGTATACCACTGTCTGTTTCAGTGAACAAGCTTGTGTTTATGACCAGTAGGTCAAGTTCATTAAGCTTGAAAGTGGAGCATGTTGCCTTAGTTTTGAACCCACTGCTACACAATAGTTCAATTTAAAATGATTACCCTAATGCACATGTCTAATTCGTTTTTAGGTCAAAATAGACACACTTCTCGTAATCTTTTTCATAGCTGTTCTAAGAAACAAGGAGCAAAGATGATGACAGTAAACTCGATTGTGCAATTTACTATTATGCTTTACAAGGTTCTCTACTGTGACTGAAATTCTTCACAACAAGCTATGTTTTCATGAGTCTGCTTCGGCATATTGTGATGAATGTTATATTAAGATTACAAAACACTGCTGAAGCCAAGAAAATTTTGTAAATAGAAATTGTGGTGGCGTTGAGTGTAGATTATTATAGTTATATTCGATTTATTTATCCACGTCATCAATGAAACAATCTAGAGAGTAATCGAAACCAAACAAGTAAGCAATCACACACAAATGATGTAAACTGTAAAGAGAGAAAACACACGTGTGATTTACCCTGATTCACCTAAAATATCGGTTACATCTAACAAAGTCAATATTATTGAAATATCCCCTCACCTTGCTCGTTACAATGAATGTATTTACCTATGATTTGTTATATCATTCATATAAGAGAAAAACATGTTTATATACTAGATTTAACGAGAAAAACCTAATATTATTATGATCTTTTTTCTTAAGCCCAAAACCAATTAGGAGTTTTATTACTTAAAGAAATTCTACGGCGGCTCTTCATGGGATAGGCTCAAACCGCCTATGGACCTCGTATGCGTTTGCCTCGCCCCTTATTATTGAAGTGGTCGACTAACTCCTGATTATTAGGAGTGGTATTCTTTGTAAACTGTTGTGGGGAGTGTTGAGTCTTTTAGGCCTTATTCATGCTCTGTATTCATTTTTCCAACTTGAGGTCAGTGATGTTTGATTATGTCACTTTAATTGGGGTATCAAAGTTCTTCGTAAGCTCCAAATTTTAGCATGCTGGCTTCAACTAAAAGCAACTTGGGGAGAATTTTTTTTTTATATGATATCAATCCCATTTCCTTCCTACCTCTATATTAATTTAACTCTGTATATCCCCTGCATTTAAGGACTATGCTTTTAGACCACGAGGACATTGAAAATCAATCAGCAATTTGATTTGATTATCCAAAATAAATTATTTTTCTAGTGTTATTTCCATTCACAAACAAATCCATCAGCTCTGCCTCTTGAATCTGAGAGTCGTCTATGAATAGTTAACCCAAATAATGGACTACGTAATAAGAACAAAACAATGAATCAGTAGTGCATTAATGTTACTGATAAAGAAAGATATACAGCTTATCCAAGCTTGACATGACATCATACAATGAGTTAAAGCCTAAAGGCACACTTACAGTTATATTTTACATGGCATTAGTGGGTGGGTTTGTTAGAATATAAAGTAAAGGTTCAACTTTACCATTTCGTTGATGGCACCATCATAATTCAATTGTTCTTACATAATTTTGAAGAACAAACAGAAAGAGATACAGTGTATCTGCAGGCAGAAGATATACTTAAAACAATGCAAGAAAAACAGATAACATAAAAATAATTTAACAAGGGAGCTCAAATTGTTCTTATCAAAAGTTATTATGTAGTTTCCACTAAAAGGGACTACAATTACAATAAGATTATTAGTAAACTGTTTCTGATTACCTAACCTAACCTACTCCATGAAACAATCTAACAGAGATTGTAGCAACACAAGTAGTCAAGGCAGTTCTCTGAGCAGTCATAGCAGCAAGAGCAGCTGCATCCCAAGAAATCAAATGAACATTCAAAATAGCTCTTTTGGATGAATAAACAGAGCAAACAAATCAGATTTATATACAAAAGGAAAAAAGAAGAAGATAAGGAGTAAGGACACATACCATTCATTAATAGCTTTGTCTTGTTCATCTTCTCCGGCCTGGAAATTCATGCTTTGTGCGGGTGGTGGTTCCATTCTCTCTCTCTCTCTCTTTCTCAGGATAGTGAAAGAAGAAAATTGAATAATGAAGGATAATCTCAATATGGATGTTTAAGGGTAACCACGTGAATGCAGTAGACTCAGTTGGGCTGAAGAAGATTGGACAGTGAAAGCATATTCCTTTTTTCTTTTTCTTTTTTAATATTCAAAAATATGAAATAAAGACCCATGCACATTTACACTTTTACTTGACCAGAGTCAATCGATTTAAAGAATAAAAAGTAAAGTGGTTGCTTACCATGTTTATATCAAATCTCAACCGTTTGATGGTGGGAGAAGCTATCCAATCTAACGGTTAAAGATTAATTACAGGAAAGAAATAAAAGGACAATTCCAGAAATATTTTCTCAAATTAAAAAAAAAAAAAATTACATTACCTAGTTTCTTCTTTTGAAAATATTTCAAAGATATTTTATACTTTTAAATTATTAAATTCATAAGATAAGTTAGTGAAGATGGGGATTAGTCCAGTTTGGTGAGTTGGGTTGGTCATCACCTACCTCCTCATGTAGATGATATTGATGGATTAGTGTTATTTTACAAGGAAGCATTTACGGGGTTTATCTTCTTGATATGGTGTTTTAGGGTTTTGAATTCTGTCCACTTATGAAGGGCTGTCATGTGGAAGGAACCAGTGGGTAGGCCAAGTGTCATACAATTAGTGAACCAGTCTCCGATCAAGCATGATGAAAAACGACAAATCATAACAAATAAATGGGTATCCCTGTATTACGGGAAAGTTGTCACTTACTCATATTTTAGGGAAGTCTGCTTATTTATGCAACTCCTTCATTTTTTGGTTTTTAACATCTCAATTAAAATTTGAGATTTATTAAATATCCTACAAACTTAAAGAATCAAATAAATCATAATATTATTATGATAAATAATTCTAAAGTAAATAAATCCCTTAAACCGTCAAACCAATTCCTTAGGGTTTGCAACTCCTCCATAAGTAATTTAGGATAGTTTGATTTGTGATCTTAATATTTTTAAATTGACAACACTAATAATTTTCTTTTGTGGATTTAACTCTTCTTAAACCAATAAAATAATATTAATAACCAGTAATTTTAAATTATTATGGGCTGGGCTGGGAAGTTTAACAATGGGCCTTAAAAAGGCTATGTACAATGACATGCCTTAAAATTACAGGAAACATGATTTTGATATTGACATTGATAGACGAATAGCTTAAACTAAAATCTATAAATTGATCTTCAGTCCGTCAAATATACAGAGCTGTAAAAATATCAATATACATATATGCACAGATCTTCTATTAATTGAAGAAAATCTTAATTAGTGAGTAGTGTACAAAAACCTGCTTCTATGTTCACTCTATCTACAAACACTTTTGCTTCAACTTCAAGGATGTTATTAAAACTTTACACACTTCAGGAGCATTTGATCAATCCCCACAACTTCATTGCTTTATCGTATTCGTCGTAACATTAATTTCAATGCTCTATCTTCGTAAGTTACTCTAATACAACATCAATTAACCTTCCTAACACGCTGACAATATTTGAATAAGCAAGCAGCACTTCCATTCCTCCATGTCAACAAGGGCTTGAACAATGTTTGTTGTGCTCCATGCATAGAGGATATAAACTAGGAAGATCATCAAGGATTGAACATGGAGAATTATTGAAACCAAACTCTAAGTTGGAAATTTCAAAAGGCGGTCATTGATCATTCTCGCTGAAGAAAAGGAATGATGCAAGGGGCTGGAGGCGGCAGTCATGCAAAAGTAAAGAATTACCAACTTCAATGCACTGAATTCAATTGTCTAGTCTAAATATGCAAAGACAAAACAAGTAGAAAGTAACTCCTACCTCTCAGAAGACAACTTTTTCAGACTCTGTGAGCTTAGGTATAGAGGATACTGATCAATTTTACCCTCACAATGTTCTCTGGGACTTTGGGGTTTATCCTGTCAAGGGGACACAGAACATCTTGTAACTAAACAGTAGAATTTGGCAAGAGAGAAAGAAACAGAAGTTGCATTTATAGCTTACAGTCAATTTCATCCCAGTAAATGAATGGGAGCAAGATGTGACATCAGTATGCTGCGAGTTTTTCAAGAATCGGTGTTCTAGTAACATGCTGGCAGTTGGCCTCTCTGCAGGATTTCTCCGGAAGCAACATCGTAAAAAATCCTTGGCCTCAGCTGATAAATTTTCAGGTATGGTTGGAATATTCTTCATAACCTTAAACATAGCTGCAGCCTGCATCAATACAAGAGATTTTTAAACAATTTATTGCGTAAATACCGGAAAACCCCCTGCTATTGGAGAGCCCCTGAAGTCAATCTCCCCCACAACTCATTTCAGTACCTTTCATGAACAAGACTCAAACAGGAAATATGATCTGACATAAAATTAGGTATTAAGAACAGGTAACAAAGGAAATATAAAAGGAAAAAAAAAAAAAAGCAGAAAAGCTTTTGATACAGCATCAATTAATGAGTTATCAACCAGGAAAGCTGGAAAAAAAAAAGACTTTAGTACTCTCTTCAAATCAGTGCGCAAAAGGAGCCATTCTGCAACAAATGCAAAATGTATATTGACTGAACCTTCCAAGTCTCAGTAAGTTTAAGTGACGGCTGGAAAAAAAAGAATAACTAATGCAAACAAACAAATTGAACACTAGGAATTTGATGACGTAGATCCAAGTTATTCTGGAACTATTTAACACTTCTTAGCAATGATGAACAATTGCAGCTTGTAAGTTAAGCAACATTTAGACACTGTAAATGCTTACCCCTTCAAACTCACTCCAAGGAGGTTTCCCGGTAAACATTTCAATTATAGTACAACCCAAGCTCCAGATATCAACAGCTAGTGCAAGATCAGAGTTGCTATCTTTCTGCATAAACGACATCATGAGCTGCAAGGAAAACAATAATATCAATATGGTGAAGCTATAGACCAGCACAAATTGATGTAGCAGCAACAAAGTACCTCTGGAGCCATCCAGTATGGGCTTCCCTTCAAAGAAAGATCAGCTGCTTGTCCAGTCAGCTGAGAAACAAAAGAAGTCCAAAAATTATTGAGGCCCAATATGAGAGAACAAAATGCATCCCAGATTATGGATTAGCATGGCAACAATTAATGAGTTCAATGTTGATACGCAATTAAATCTGTAGTTTCAACTCAACCAAGGTAACCCATTTCTAAATTATTTATGGCATATTACAGGGACCAGAAAGAATAAGCACTATCACATTAAATATATAATCCTGCCTAAGAGTCACAAGAAGTAAGGCTAACACAATATTATTTAACTGTTAATGTTAAAAGCAATACAGGAACAAAACAAACAGATATATACTGCTATAATTCTGTCAAAGACTGCAAATCTTTCTTTCAGCTTGTACCATACTGTCACATTTTTGCCCAAGCAGAAGAAGAAATCCCACAATAAAAGACTTCATCTCGCTTTTAAATTCAAGCATACCTGTAAATTTTAATCTACTGCTCCAGCAGCATGAATGACATTTTCACATGAAGATAAACCACATAGAGGCAAATTTTTAACACTTACTTTAAGAAAATCAAAGAGGCAGAGAAGGCCTGTGGGAAGAAAACTTCAAAGATCTCACAGGTACACAATTACAAACATGCCTCTGAGTATTGCAAATAACAATATTTAAAAAATTTAACAAAAACTCACAAGTTTAGCCATTCCAAAGTCAGCAAGCTTAACAACCCCTAACGCATCAACAAGCAGATTAGCTCCTTTGATGTCCCTACGTAAAAAAAATATACATAAAAATAAATAAATAACACAAAGTCTGAAAATAATCTCAATTAAAAACAATAGGCCTGCCCCTAAGATTACCATTCACTCCACATTTAAACTCGATTAAATGTATTAAGCTCTTATACTTCAATTTGCCACATTAAGTGGACGTTAAGACAACTTTATAAACAAAACATGCTATTTGTACCTGTGGATTGTCTTTTTACTATGTAAGTAAGCAAGTCCAGAAAGAATATGACGAGTAAAATTGCGAACAACTGATTCTGTTATGGCTCCAAAATGTTCACGGACATATTTATTAATCGAACCAGGATGAACATACTCCAGATATATATAAAATTTGTCTTCAACCTGCAAATGCATAAAATTTAGATTCAATGCTCTAGCAAGCAAACATTAGAAACATGATGCCAAACATGCACCCAGAAGATTACTCACTATTTCACTACCATAATACTGCACAATGTTTGGGTGCTTCAACTGGCTAAGAACTTTGATTTCCTGAAACAAATGCAAGAGTTAGATAGAAGATGGAGAGGCAATGCACAATTAAATATTATAATGTTTTCGCTATGAACCAAAAAAATTGTTCATAACTCCAAAAATCATAACAATATGCAATATGTAACGCCAGGGCCAATGAGATCCGCCAAAGCAACCCACAAAACATATTTACTAGGCCAACATCAACCAAATAAAATGCTCTTCATCTCTCATGCATTTAGGAAATTTGTTTCATCTTGAATGCAGTAGCTTGGTAATCACCTGTTCCAGTTGCTTTATACATTCAGCAGATTTTGGGTCATCAGGAAATATTTCAACCTCTTTCATCGCACACAAAGCTCCAGTTTCTCTGTCAAAAAAGGAAAAGCCAAATTTAGTGTTTGCTGCGACAGAAGAAGAAACTAGCAATTAAGATACACATAATTCATATACCGATTGCTGGCAACATAAACACTCCCAAAAGTACCACGTCCAATAAGCTTTCCCTTTTTCCATTGATTATTCATAGGCAGAGGTTCAGGTTTAGCTGGAATATGAGGATTAGAAGTTGATGGTGAAGAAATGGGTGGTCCTGGAGGAAGAGGTAACGGGTGGACTTCAACATGACTAGTAGATTCACGGGACAATTTGGAATGCATAGGTGAGGAAGGTCCAGTTGGGCTTATGGGGTTTCGACATGGACTTCTACTACGAGGACTTTGAAAAGGAGAATTATCAGCACTAAAAGCAGTGAAATCAAAGTATGCAGGTGGAGGAAGGCCAGGAATATCTAAGCGCGGCATCTCCGGGGCAGACCATACTTTATTACCGTGAGGAACATTATAATAATTCTTAAACATCTGATTAATGCTCATCTTCTGTGGGCTGAGTACGGGACTTGCAAAAGGACTAGAAGGAGCACTCTTAGCAGGAATAATATAATGCATGAAATTTTCTTTAGAACTATCTATTCTATTCAGATCTTGCTGCACTTTACTAGTTGACCTCGTCTCCAAATATTCAGGCTTCTTCCTCTCAATACCGCGGGAGAACACGCTGAAATACGACAGAAATATAACAAGAGCAACGTCACACCAGAAGAAAAAAATAATAATAATTAAACAAAGCTCATTAAAAATAATAATTGCTATACCAAAAATGTGTCTCCATTAATGCTAAATGCAGAAATTAAAAGGAAAAAATGGGAATGCATGCTGAGTTCATAAATTATCTGTTAAACAGTTTCCATCATATTCTTTGATTCATAATACATTTTCAAAATAAAAAATATTAATGACGCAATAAAAACAGAAAATTGTTAATTAAATTCTTTCAATTGACGGTGGAATTGAACCAATATGAAATAAAAACAGAGAAAAGAAAAAAAAAAAAAAAAACCTCTTAATTGTTGATGAAACTCCGTCCCCAGCTCCATCTAATCTATCTCTATCTCTATCTCTAAAACCGTCTCTTTCTCTCTCCTCCGAGCTTCTTCCATTTCCGCCAGCATCTCTGGGCGACAAGAGCCGCGGCTCACCGTTATCATCCCGTACAGGCAACGGCAGAGGCAATGGCAATGGCTGTGCGGTGGCGGCATTTGACGAAGACGGCAAAGACCTGATTGTGGACGCGTTGGACAATCGACCATAACCGCTGTTCGATCTAGACAATGTAACGGAGTCGCGTATATCATCCGTTTGTGGCAATTTGGTGATTCCAACAATCTCCTGATCGCTCAAATGCCTGAGCTTCTTCTGCCTCGTCAATCTCGGGACTCGCGAAGGCCTCTCATTATTGTTACCATGAGTGGTACTTTTATTAGTATTAGAATTATTAGGATTGTTGTTGTTGTTGTTGTTAATTCGACTATTGATGTAAATATGGTGATTCTTATGGGCTTTATTGCGAGGGTTATAAGAAGAATGTTGGTCAGAGAGAGGAGAGGAAGAAGAGGAAGGAGAAGAGAAAGAGATATTATGAAGCCAACGCATGGTGGTAGTGGTGGTGGTGGTGGTGGAGACCACGAGAAGTAAAAATCATGATCTTGGAAGAAGAAAAAAAGAAAAAAAGAAATGTGGGTGTAATTCAATTATAAAAATTATCATGAATATGATTATAATTAGAACGTAATATATGCAGGAATAAAAAACAGGGGAGGGAGCAGAAGGAGAAGGAGAAGGAGAAGATTTTGAGTTTGTTGAAACGCGGTTATTAACGTACCTGCACGCCAAACGGATCCATTTTAAGAGTCAATATTATAACCAAAGGTCAAGCCGCTTTGTTTTTCTTTTATTTGGAAATTGTTATGAATTTCATATTATTGATTGTTATTAAATGATTCGATAACAATGTAATAACTTATAACCATCCGAATTATATCTTACTGACGTGGCTGGTATTGAGGAAAAAAGAAAAATTTAAGCAACACAACTTTAAGAAATACAAAAAACATCTCATTAGATTTTGAAATTGTTTTTAGTTTTAAATTAATTGAATTTTAACAGTCTAAAAAAAGTCAATATAACAACTCTCTAATACTTGTTTGTTTATGTAAAAATAAGAAACAATCTGTTAATAAGTCTAATATTATCTCAAAATTAATTAATTTGATAATTAAAATGAATTAGAAAAAAAATAAAATTATTCAGCCTGAGTTGCGTGGCAATTCATGATCCCAGTCCCAGCTCAGCTGATTTGGACTTGACCCTATTTTCAACATTTAATTTCCTTAATTTAATTATAATAAATACGCTGAAATTTAATTTCATAATACATATACCGATATACGTAATACGCTGCACAAATGTAATTTCTCGGATACAATAAATAAATAAAAGATAAAACAGTAGATTTAAGTTGAAGTTGAAGACCCAGTCAGTGAAGCGGTGCAGAGGTGCTTGAGGTTGAGGTAGAACCGTAGAAGGACGAAGTCAACGATGAAGAATGTGGATACATCATACATTAACAATTTCGTCCCTGAGGTTTGGTTAAGTATAACTTTAGTCTTGTAGAAATTTTTAGTAACTTTTTGGTCCATGAAATTTGCTAATAATGTGACTGACAAGGAAAAAGACCTACAAGGGCAAAAGTTANATAAAACAGTAGATTTAAGTTGAAGTTGAAGACCCAGTCAGTGAAGCGGTGTAGAGGTGCTTGAGGTTGAGGTAGAACCGTAGAAGGACGAAGTCAACGATGAAGAATGTGGATACATCATACATTAACAATTTCGTCCCTGAGGTTTGGTTAAGTATAACTTTAGTCTTGTAGAAATTTTTAGTAACTTTTTGGTCCATGAAATATGCTAATAATGTAACTGACAAGTAAAAAGACCTACAAGAGCAAAAGGTATTTGGGCTAAACCTCAGTTTTCCTATGGTGGGGACTGAGGAAGAATGCATAATGGAAATGTGATAGAGAAGTGGGGATGTGGAAGACAAAGGAGATGAAGATGGATAATAGAGGCCATGTCTCTGTTATTGAGTCACTTGACTTAACACCAATAATATTTGAATCTGATAGTTTTGTAGTGTGATGAGAGGTCCAAATCATTTGAGTGAATATAATTGATGTGACTTCACTACAATTAAAAGATGAAGATGAGATGGATGCCCTGTTTATGGCCGTCTCCAACATTGCTTTCCTTATATTTCATTTTTTCATGCCACGGCATTACCCACTTAATAGTATTGTTAAAACATCTTTAAATTGTAAGAATAATCATAATACTTTATTATAATTTTGTAATTTGCATTAGCAACTCCCCATATGCAAAGAGGTTCAAACTTCGAATATCTTACTCTCATGATTCATGAATGAAGCTCATAAAGTGACAAAATCACCAATCATGGATATTTTTGCCACTTACTCACTCATGTGCAAATAATTTAATAGATATCAGCTTAACATTTTCGAATGTACCTCTATACAGTTCTTTGAATAATTGGGACCAGTAATGTTCATTGGTCTACTTGATATCCTATGTCAATCATATCAAACCCAATTCTTAATTTTGTGGCTTTGTATAAACCCTGTATGGTCTCCTTAGTGACAGTTATGGTTCAACTCTGCCTTGCCCTATTTTCTTTTAGGGCTGAAAGGATTAAAAAAAAAAAAAAAAAAAAAACAGGATTAAGAAGACAAAAAGAGAAAGAAACAACCACTTAGTTGGAATGCTACAAAATTCCATCCGCCACCAACTATTGTTTTAACTGTGCAACTAAACCGTAAAGAATCTAAAGGTACAAATATAGCATGCAATGCCTCCATTCAAGGATGTTACAGACACAAGATTATCGGCTTCCGATTATCTAGGGAACATAGCACAACCTCAAGCCCAGGGAAAACAATAGACTTATTCTTCGAATGCTTCTGATTTTGAGTAATGCTGGTCAAAATACGTACAATCCAAAATTATCCTTCAGTGCCTACACCACTGCAGGTTCTGGGTTTTCCAAGTTTGTTGCCACGATCTTACATACAGGCATGTCGTCATTCTTGCTCAAAAGTTTCAAGGATGGATGTACCTCAACGTCATCCATGAAGATTCTATCTCCAATATCAAGATTGCTGACATCCACCTCAATTTTTGGAGGAATGAGTTCAGCTGGGCAAAGATACTTTAAACTAGTTCTTATCCTGTTAAGAGAACCACCTTTTGGACATAAAAGTAGCATTAGAATATAATATTTTGGCAACAATGAAATAAATTGAGTTTATAAAGGACTTGCGAAGAGAAAGCAGTAACAGCATACAATGACAATATAAAGTGCAACACTTTTCAGTCACATCCACCTCAATTTTTGGAGGAATGAGTTCAGCTGGGCAAAGATACCTTAGACTAGTTCTTATCCTGTTAAAAGACTGACCTCTTTGACATTAAAGCAGCATTAGCATAATATTTTGTTGACAACAAAGAAAATTGAGTTTGTAAAGGACTTCCAAGAGAAAGCAATAACAGCATAAACTGACAATATCAATCTCAAATTACAGTAAAGTGAAATACTTTCAGTCACATCCCCATAGTGAACTTACAGAAGAGTCACAATGAAACCAGTCCACTCCAGATATGGACGAGTAAATTTAACACAAACTCTAGCATTTTTCTTTCCCTTGAATCCAGAAGCATGAATTTGAATGAGAAGGCGGTATTCCTCAGTAATGCTTTATAAAATGTATTCCATTTCTTTTTCATTTTGGCTCCAGAAATATGAAAAAGTTATGCAAATCATTAAAACAAACAGCAGAAAATTCCTACAAATATCCCATATTGAACTTAAAAATTTGCTATTACAATTCTATAAACCACCTATATGTCCACAAGTAATTTCTGTTTTCCAATTTACAACGGGCTAATGTGCAAACTTTTCTTCTCCAACTTTCTCCCCTATAAGCTCTTTGAATGTGGGTAAAGCTAGCAGAGCAGATCAAAGTTGTCTTGACTAACTTTAAAGAGGCACACAAAAAATTAACCTTTTGGGTTCAAAGAGGCAGTTCAACACTGACAATCACAACAAAGAGGAGAAAGGAACTCTTAGAGCTATTCTAACCTCATGTATAAGTGGTTGATTTCTTGAACACTATAGAATAGTTTCTTGTTTGGGAGGAAAAAAAATGGTAGTGGATTTTCTAAAAGCAACACTAATTTCTCGTATGATATTTTAAAACAACTAATGGGATGAGACAGTAGTTGGAAGCAATTGTAACATGTGCAAGCTAAACAAGTAGAAAAACAAATGGAGTAAACTTGCACAGAAAATACATGCTAAAGATGTTGGAAATTATAGTTCATGCACCTCAAGGTTAAGGAGCCATCTTTTATATGTTCTTCAATAAATTTTGCATTGCAATAAAATGCAGAAAACAAATTCCACACTGAAGATTAAAACTTAATAATGGTATTTTGGTGCCAGGTTTATAACTGAAGGTAGCCTACTCGTATACAACCAAATCTAAATCCAGGTAGAAGTTTTACTGGGGAAATTTTGATCATGAATTCAGGAAAAAAAATTAATAACAAGCTGTTGAATAATAAGTTCACCAGAATATCTTCAATATTTGTCATCCATAAACATATATATTGTATACACATAAGAATGAGAAAAAAGCATGTTACATGGAGAAAGTAATGTCTTGGAAAATCAACAAAAAGAATCCCCAAAGGCATACTAAGTCCCAAGAAACCAAATTCAGAAAAGAATTTAAATATTTTTTTCTCCTCTTGCATCAATGCACATGCATAACATCCCATGTAAATATGACGACACCCAAAAGATTGTTGATATAGTTAATACAAAGCACATTACCTTTCTTAAGACCAGGGCAGTTTTCTTCTCCTTTGAAAACAACTGGCACATCAACCTTCAACTTCGTCCCATCATCAGCCCACACAAACACCAAATTCAATATATTCCCAGTCTCTTCATTCCTATGAACCTATCCACAAAATAACAACCTTCAACACTCAGAAACTAAACAAATTAAACCAAAAAGAAAGATAAAACACGAAACTATTACCTTAATTGGGAGTACTTTTCCTGAATCAAGCAAAACTGATGACCCGGACCCGGCTCGGATCTGGAGTGGGAATGTAGTAGAGTAAAAGAAAGGGAGTTCCACGGACTTGAGAATGGATTGAATTTGTTTTGTTTCAGTGGTTAACAGTTGTTTCCGAGAAAGTGGTCTGTTTTCAGAACTTTTGTCGAGCAGGTTCGGCGCAAGAACGACTGCCGGGATTCGACCCTGGGCTCGGTCCTTTGACGCGACACGGCTGCCGGTGCACTCTCTGGGTACCGCTTGAATAGTGTGATAAGATGAAGTGGATTGTGAAAACGGTGAGTTGGGATTGTGGGCCACCATTCTCAGGGTGCGCCACCATCGCGACATGGTTGTTTTGGTATGGCTGGAAAGTGAAGGTTCGCGTTTGGTGTGGCGTGTGTGGATGAGGGTTTTGTGATTTCGGGGGTGTAAGATATGTTGGGCCACAAGCTTCACACATTGGGGTTTCGTTGGGCTTTTGGTGGACTAAGTCAGAGATAAAGTGAAGGCCTTCACTACATTTGGGTTTGGATTGCAGAGTTTCGTGGTTACAATAATATTACTCTTCTGGGTTTGTTTAAGAATGCTTCTTTGATATTGTAATCTCATTAAACAAGATTGTTATATTAAAAAAGGCACACCACACATAAATTTATTAACCACCTCTAAGTGGTCGAGTGATTAGATAGAAACTATTAGATATATTATTTAAAAGGTTCTGAGTTCGAGTCTCTAATCAAATACTAATAAAGGTAGACACTAGAGATATTACCCGACCAGTAATTCTAGGATCCCAAAGGATTAAGTAAAATACACATAAGTAAAATCAAGTAAGCACAAATGTAAAACATAATGTTGTATGCCAAATATAGAATATAAAACTGTGGCTTACAATCCCAGACATTGAATGAAAATGCGTGTTTGGTAAACATTGGCTGGCTAACAGTTATTATAAACACATATTTGGCAAAATCAAATTCCAATGGACATAATCTTTTACCTAAAGAAAATAACAAAAATAAATTGGCATTTTGTGATTCAGAAAAAAACACACTTTTTGTCTGTTGTACCAGTTTTCTACTACCACAACCCTCACAGTCACACACGCCAACTTCAACCGCTTCCGTTTCTTGACAAATCGTGAAATCCAGTCATTCAATGAACTACGTCGTTCCATTGTAGCTGGGTTAGGTTGATTCAATTAAATAAAAGTATTCTATTATTTTATAGCATTAATGAATATTTTTGTCTTTTATGAACATAATTCATTTGATACAAAACAAGAACTTTATTTTATTAAACACGTTAATATAAATCTTGGTAAATAATGTGGGTCATTGAAAACAAAATGGAGGAAACATTTTCAAAGGCTTTGTTTACTACCCATTATAAAGTCCATAATAGTTGGTGATGAGATGTTAACCCATTTCACATCGCACATTTCTCTCTGATTTTTTTGCCGGACAGGCACTACTTAAGAGATCTTTGGTCAATTTGGTTGAAACTTGAAAGTCAACAGCTAAAAAAGATTAGATTTTGTTTAAGTATGAGACAAAATAGATGATTTGCATTCATCCTCAACCTATCATTCCACCACCTGCTCCTCTATTCAGCGTTTAATTTAACCGTAAAGAAGATTTGTCATTTTCTTTAAGTTTTTTTATTCAAATATTACGAGGTGCGTATGGTTTAATATTTATACTCATATTTTCAATCTTATTTCTTAAATATTATTTGACACATTATTTGAGAAATAATATTATATTTTTTTAATTATTTTTAGGCCCCTTAAGGTTATTAATTTCATTAAATACCCTCAAAAAAAAAGTTTAAAAATTAACAAAAACACCCCTATCAACCCAACTTACCAAATTCTGACAACTATCATCGGTAGTAGCCGGAATCTATATAACGGCCTACACCACGACCAGAAATGGCTGGTAGTTCACCGACCATATCTTTGATTATCGTAGATGGACTTCTTTAGCCTTTTGTCGGCCAGGTCCGTGGTGGATGTGACTGGAAAAGGCCATGGCGACGCGTTACGACACACATCCTACCAGTCTGTATCGTAAAGCAATTTTTCGGCCAGATTCCAGCACTGGTGGCTGGAATCTGGTACTGCAGGTGGTGGGGGTGTTTTTGTCATTTTATATGTTAGGGTGTTTAATTAAATTAGAAAACTTAGGGTTTTTTTTTATAAATTTTTAAATTTTACCTCGTAATACTTCTCTATTCAACTACCCAATATTATTCTCAAAATCATATCTAAAATAATAAACCAAACGCACCCATGATCATTTACGTTATAATTTAACTGGTTCTTTGAGGTTTGTGAGATGTTCAATAGAACTCAAAAATTAAATAAATAAATAAATAAAGACTTTCTTCTACTTTCAATCTAATTCATCTTCTTTTACATTTAAATAGTTTCACACTTCCATTGAATTATGTTTGAATCAGAATAAGAATTTTGGAAGAGAGAGAGAGGAGATTACTAACATCCAATAGATGAATATCTGTGCAATAAAAAGATTGAACTTTCCTCTCTCATGAGAGGATATACAATTTAATGAAATGAAGCCCTGAGCACGCAATTGCTCACCAGCACACTGACTGACTGGGGTGTGTGTCTAAAGGGGTGAGTGGTTCGATTTAACATTCAACCATAACCCACTGTAACAGTATACCCCATATCTTCTTCATGTTTACTATTTGTCCCCCTTAACTTTAATTCCCATTCGGGTCCCACTCTCCATATAACAACAAATACACCGTCCTTTTCCCTTACGTCCCACGTTCCCACCATTCTACACTACACTACATTATTCGCGTCCCGTTTAAGGAAAGCGATTATCTGTGTACTCCCCCGCCCTAACACCTGTACACTTTTTACTTCCCTAAATTACCCTCTTTTTTTAATTTGTTTTCTATATTATCATTCCAATTATACTTCAACTATAATTCATGCATATAAATTTAAGAAATGCAAAGTCATCAAAGTAATTAAATAAGGACGAGTTCCTTTTACTTTTCATTCACTTGGGATTATCTAAATTTAGTTCAAATTATAATTATCAATAATAATATAATGATTTTTTTAATTAATAAAAAAGATAAATTAGAATCAGGATATGTCAATCTTAGCAAAAGGACAAGTAAAAGATGATAATTCCATTTGTAGAATAATCTAAACAATATAAGTTTTATATATTTATATTTAAATTTGTAATATCCGTTTATAATCATTAAAATTACCATTAAATAATACTAAAATTATGAGACTATATTCTATGATGATGAAATGAAAGGGTAAAAACAATATTTAAGAAAAGTATTTCTACCAGCACGCGGAATCTGTATCTCAAACGTGGCGCAAATACACGTGTGCATTATTATATACTACCAGGTCGGTCGCACTTTCAAGTGCTGACTTGTATTCACTTCGAAATTTCAACTCTTTAAGCCTCGAAATTATCAGAAATTCACCAAAGATTAAAAATTCAAAAAAAAATAATAATCAGATTTACCGGTGAAATAAGTAGCCGGTAGGGGGTGATAGAGCTGATGATTATCGTTGGGTGGGTTGCAGTATCCATTCTTCGAGGGAAGCTTAAGGTTTAGTCATTTCAAAAATGAATGCTAAAGGAATGCGAACCATCAAGTCATTCAAAATGACTGTCTACAAGGGCTCAATATCCGTACGGACTCTGACGGGGAGTAGCAGGTCACACATTAGCTCTCTTTTGCTGTGTCTCGTGAATCGTGTCTGCGCGCTGATGCAAATGAAGGTTGAAGAAGAGTATTAATGGGTGAATCGAGAAACGATGTGCTGCAATGTGCCAGTTCATTTTACGAAAATACCCTTATCTTGCTGAGGAGATCACTGCGTAATAATATAACAATAAAAAAAGTGATAGCACTTATTACAGAGTTACCGCACACGGTACCCGGACGTGTGCTGCCCACAAGGGAATTATGCCCTCAGTCAGTAAGCATAGAAATTTTGAAAGTGCAATTACCAGAACACCCTCGTAGCACTTTTATTAGAGTTTAGGATCAATCCCAGCACATTTATTTTTGTAAAGTCAATTCTTCAATAAAAGTTATGTTCTTAACATTATCAGCCTTTCTATATTTAGATATTAAAAGTAGCATTAATTTTTACTTTATAAAAAAGTGGCAATTTTAAGATATTGATTCAATAATAATTTACGAAATTGTTTTTACTTGTTTCTTCTTCTTAGTTTCATTATTGTTTACCTTTCTTTGTCTATATTTGGTTAGGTACTTGATGTCATGCCTACTTTATATTTAAAGAGAAGAAGGAGATGGTGTCATTGAGCAGAAAGGTGACGGTGCCATTGCCCAAATGACTATAAACCGCACATATTATTTTTATTGTTCAACTTAATTATAAATATGGGTGAGTTTCAAGAAATTTTCAACAATTATCATTTCACATTCTATAATAATTATTTCATTTTATTCCGGATATACTAGATAAAGTATTATCGTTTATTTGTTTTACTTTGATCAATTTAATTTCGATTATTAGTAACATTATCTTTATATTGATTCATAATCTTTTAACTTATTTTGAAAATATGATTCTATAATTAGTAATTACCATATCTCTTGATTTAAATATTTTCTTTTGTATTGAAAATATGATTATTAGTAACAAATATTTTCTTTTTAGATTGATATAGAAAGTAATGCTTATAATAGTTAAACAAATTTTAAAGTATAATTATATGACTATTAAATTATTAATTAATTATTGAGATATTATATCTGTTGACACAAAGATGTTGTTTTATGCATTAATTTCATAAGAAATATTAAAAACAATCAGTTTTGTGTGCATGCATTCGCTTATAAAAAAAGGTTTTTATTTTTACTGGCTACAACATAATTTTAATTCATTTATTTTCGCATAAATAATAAAAAAAGGAAATGACATTTTTCCAAAGGGGTATGAAGACTGAGGTGAGGAGGGACAATTTTGGCATTGAAGGGAGATAGTACAGGGACAAAGAGGTAACTCAGGCGAGCATTGAATACTTGCTCAGAATAAAAGGACCTACCCTTTCAAACCTTAATAAATTCACAAAATAAAACAAAATTATAAAATTATAATCGGACGGTCAACACCACCGTCTCAAAATCTCAACGGTACCCTATTCATATATATAAAAATAACGTCCTGCCCCCTCCTTTTTAAACTATCATTTCTGTTTCTCCTTTTTCCACATATTCTCTCTCCATCTCTTATTAATTTTTTTTTTTTTAAATTCAGTTCTTTATCGAAAATTAAACATTTCTTTCCATTCTTTTTCTGTTGGGATCGTTAAACTCAAAGATCGGATCGTGAACCCTAGTCCAGAGAGCTCTTTCTCTCACTCACCTTCTGTAAGGTCCGGTTGCTCCCATTTTTTACAGTCCGTTCAATCATTGCCATCCAAGCGTCGGCGTTTCATCTTCTTAGTATTTGTTATGGTTTTGCTGCAGGTATTATGGACCGAGAGAGAGAGACTGTGATCTGAACCGAGTTTTTTTAAACAAAAATCAAAGGTATACATAATATCATAGGTGACAGTTTTTTTTTTTTTCTTTTTTTCTTTCACTCTTTGCAATTTTTCGGAAAATCTTGAGTTTTGATATGGAAAGATCTTCCTCTTTGGATACGCAGATCAAGGAGATTTTTGTGATTTATTTTTTTCCTTTTCATTTCTTCTTAATCTTTAATTTTTTTTTTTTCAAAATGGATCTTGAAGGATCTTGTAAACCAAGAGTTTCTTGCATTACAAGATGACAATGAAGCGTGTGAAAGGTTAGAGCTTGTGCTTGAAGACGCTCTGATAGACGCCATTTCTATTAGTTTTCACATTATTTTTTCTCTCTCCTTGGAGAGAGTAGTAAGTATTGAAAGAACTGATGATGATGATGATAGTGATGATTTGATTGATTTGGGTTTTCAGTAAGGCTTTGTTTACAAGTAACTGTTTGATATCAGTTTATACTATCATATCGGTTTTTTAAATAGCAATGATATCTATTTTTTTGCGTGATTATGAGAACTTTTTAATGGCCACCTTACCTCCTTGCCCTTTTATCCCTCTTTTAAATGACTTTTAACTCGTATAAAACAATTCTTCTTACTGTCTCCCATTCATTTTTTTTTTTTATCAGTTTGGTAAAAAAAAAAAATGTCATCTTCAAACTCGCCGTGTGCAGCGTGTAAGTTTCTTCGTCGAAAATGCACGCAAGAATGTGTTTTTGCACCTTATTTCCCACCAGACCAGCCACAAAAATTCGCAAACGTGCACAAAGTATTTGGCGCTAGCAATGTTGCAAAACTTCTTAACGAACTGAGTACCAACTTACGAGAAGATGCTGTCAACTCGTTGGCTTACGAGGCCGAGGCTCGCCTTCGTGACCCAGTTTATGGGTGTGTGGGTCTCATCTCGATCCTTCAACACAGACTCAAACAAGTACAGAGTGATCTTTATAACGCCAAGAAAGAACTGGCTACATATATTGGCCCTCAAGCTATGATGCCTATATTACAAGCCCAAGCCTTTATGCCACAACAGCATTTGGGTAACCCCTCCTCTTCTGCAGTGATACAACAGCATGGCATGTTGCCGATGATGGGTATACCTACGGGATCACCTCATAATGGGCAGTTGGTGATTCGTGATCAACAGCAGCAACATCAACACCATCAGCAACAGATGTTTGAGGCTCAGCAACTGGCGGCAGCCGTAGCTGCGAGAGAACAAGAGATGTTGAGAAATTATGAGCAACAGCAACAGCAACAGCAGCAACAAGATCTTGTAAGGTTTAATAGCGGATTCGATGGTCCAACAGGGACGGTTACCGCCACTGGGTTTAACCATATGAGTGCTGCTGCTATATCACCTTCTTTGGCTCTGGGGAGTTTTGATAACCCATATCAGATTCAACCGCAACAACCAGAGCATCATCACCATTCACATCCTCATCAAGCACAGCTTCTGCTTCAATCACAACAGGCTCAGTCCCAGCCGCAGCAACAGGCACCACAAAGTCAACAGCAGCAAAAATCTGGAAGCGAGGAGGGCAGGAGTGTTGGTCCTTCTTGTTGAAGTTTTGAAGCTTTTTTCGCTCAGTCGTTGAAGCAAGTTTTTCTATTCTAGGTATGTTCATTTCTCTCTATTTGTTTTTTGGTTTTTGCTGTTCTGGTGTATGTTCATGTACATGAGGGATCTTGAATACTATATGGGCTTTAGCATTTATGAAGTTTTTTATTCTTTTATGTGTAATCTGTTGTTGGTTTTCATAAATCGGGCTATATCGTTATGTGACAGTGGAAAGACAAAATTACTCTTTATTGCATACAGCAGTAGGGTTGGGTAAGAGAATTATTGTCTCTTCCCCTGAGATGGATGTCTCATTCATCAATTATAAGTAGCTCCTATCTCAAATAGCAGCCTCAGATTTGCTTCATACTAAATATTAACATACTCATTGCATAATTGGTTAGGTCAAATGCATGTGTCAAACATGCATTTTGATTAATAGTTTGCTAAATAACATGCATTTTGATTAATAGTTTGCTAAATATATATAATTGATATATTCCCATGGCGGGACAGAAAGAAGGTAGCTAGCGGGGCTTTATAGGGATTTTCTTTTGTGAAATCAAATCATGATCTTGACTCATGAATGGCGAATGAGCAACAGACAACTTCACCTTCATCAGTATTGTTTGACTTGTGAGTGGCCAATGAGCTTTGGACACAAAAAATTAAAGTCTACTGCCCCTACTATTGTCATCTAATTTTTCCAACCTTTTGAGTGGTTTTGTCTGTGTAGATCTAGAATGTATTTTGTTTGCCTTTAATGTATGAGTTGACGGTTTTTACCTATGGTTTAATAATGCTTTTTTTAACCATACACTTTTAAAATACTAAGTTGTTATTAAATTTATATTCTATTGAAAACAAAAAACAAATTTGGTGAAAATTATTAGAGTTTTTAAAAAGAGGAGACTGATAAATCTTTTGGTAGTTAAATATTAATTTTGGTAGTTGAGATTTATCAGAATTTGATTTAAGATGGGTGATTATAGAAATCTTAATCACTCAATTGTTAACAATTGATGAGGTCAGTTAGAATAGGGTTTGAATAGTCTTGATGAGTGATGATCAGAGAAAATAATAGTGATAGTGTAGAATCTTAACTATATCAAAATTAAAAATATAATATAAATATTTAAATAATAAAATAGTATTTTAAAAGTTAAAAAAACGTTATGAAGCATTATTTAAGTGGGAAAAAAGTCATTTACTCTTAGTTTATTGTCGAAATTGATAGGTATTTCTTGTAAGCCAATCTCATTTGTTACTTAGTGAGTGACCAATAATCATAAACAAGCTATATACTATTTTACTGCAGAGTTTTGGAATAATCTTTATAAATGTAAACATCTAATGGCTTTTCATTTTGTCTTGTTCCTTTTGGTGAAGCTAATATCTGCCGCACACAAACTGAACAGAGAGAGAGATCTACAAATGGAGATATGGAAAGATTCACATCTGAGATCCGAAGTCAGCATTGTTTTTTGTGTTTGAAGAGAGACTTTTTCTGGGGGGAAGATACAATTAAAAAATGTAGGATCTGCATTGATCTTCGAGTACAGCTTTTTTCCTTTTGACTTTAGGAGCCCTTTAATTACAAACATGTAAATCAGAATTTGGGAAGGCTTATTCAAATTAAAAATATCTAGTTTCGTTCTGCAAATCTGTCGTCATCCTTTTGTCTCTTTTTGTTATCATTTGCACTAGCGTAAAAACAAATCCTCAAAATCTAAATTTGAAGAAAGGAGAGATTTTATGTCGTGCATGGCTGGCCCTATCATATGCATGGAGCAGTTTCAGAATATACAATGAATGAGTTAATTGAATTGATTAAGGTTCTGAGTGATTGCTGCTGCGCATAGATTTATCTGCAGTTGAGCCACACTGCCATGGTTTCATTCTTCTTTTAATTAAAGTTTTGGTTGACTATATATTTAATCAGATTATCTCTTTCTAATCACTGTATTGACTGGCTGATCCTATCTTTTGGGTTAGCTCGGAATTTTAAATCTATTAATCATAAAATTTCATTGAATAGGCTTGCATGAGCATGTGAAGTGCATTATAATATCATTAAACTGCAATACTGATTAATGACGCTATTCAAATAATTAATATTTCTTTCGAAGTACGATTGTACAAATACGACTATTCTTTTCAATAACATTTTCTTTTTGTTAACTACCTAGGTTCTTGAGTATTTTATCATCCTCCGAAATACATTAAAAAATAAAAATAATTTATTATTATAAAGTATATATGATCTTTATAGGTGCATTAATTATATATAAGTTATATTGAATCTCAATCAATCATTCTAAAGTGCTTTGATTCATTGGTTTATATTAATTATTATTTTTAAAACAAATTTTTAAAGTAAAGTTAGTCTATATGTACCTCAATTAATTCTCATAAAAATTATCCTACAATGATCAATCACCATGACCCTCAAAGTAAATCATAAGGCTCAGTAGAAGAATCAAACTTGAGACTATGGATTGGATCATTTGCAACCCCTTTTGGTTCGCCTTTACCATTGGACTACACATGGGTGGGTAATTTGCTCAAGTGTTTTACATGAGATAGTTACAACAAAAATACACAATTAAGGTTATGAGAAGTTTGGAGGGGTGGTAATATAAAATAAAGTGTGTTATGACTGAAAGAGTAGGGCTGACGTAGAGTCTTGTCCGCATAGGGTAGTCAGAACTCAGAAAGGTTCTGCAATCGATCAGACGCGGCCACGTCGCATGATGACGTGAGTGGCATACCCTTGTCAGTGCAGTGGGTGGACACAAGGTCAGCGGATGGTTTGAAATCGCCCAAGTGTCCAATCCCTGCACAAGTCGAGGAAATCACTCAAGCAGGTGAGCAATGGGACGTAGAGAAGAATTTGCACGGTATCCACCTGCAGATTTAGTAATCATTACTTTGATTCATCCCACTATAAATAAAGGTATTCTCTCTCATTTACGGGATTTGCTAATTTCATTCTGGAATAACACACCCTCTCTCCCTCTCTCTCTTGTACTCTCCAAGTTATAACTCAACTCGTTGAATGCGACCTGCCATTACTCCCATTAATACAATATCAGTAGACGTATGATTCGTCTTCGAGCATCCGAACCACTCCAAACATTGTTTTTTACCTTTTACTAAGCTAAATATTTCCATAATCACGTGTGACTTCTAAGTCCGCTTAGCATTTTTCATGTGCGTTGGTGTCAAAATCAACCATCAAAAGGTGCATGTGATTTGGAAATTACTAGCTAGGGTTACAGATACAAAGCCCTTTTCAATTTCCGTAATGTTATATAGGCCAGGTAAAAGGCATGGGGAGTGAAGAGTGAAGGCACTGGCTTTGTCTTCCTTAATGAGGAAAGGGCGAAAGGCAGCTTGGCATGAGTTTTTACATTAATTATTAATGCCTCGTTTGAAGATTTGAAAGCGAAGTAACACTTAAATATTCATTAAATTAAACCCCCAATATATACACTGTTATTTCAGGGTCTAATAATTGATACTTTCTTCACCTACTTTATTATTATCCTTGTTTTGTACAGACAATAAATAAATCAACTCCTTCGTTTTTCTCTCTCAATATTTAATATTTTTACTTGTTACGTCATGTTTAATCTTATTTCTGTCATTCATTAGATTGCAATATTATTAATAACAAATTTCCATGGTTTCACAAAGAAACAATTTGAAATTAAATAGATGAGAAAGAGTGTCTTGAAAAATCATGGATCGAGGCTGATTCCACCGCCTGGACTTCCTCCACATCTTCTCCAAACACCGAACCAATAATTACTGGCCTACTTTCCCAATATTTCTTAATGCTAAACAGTTAATCTTGGAGTTATCGACTACTTCAGTATTAATGAGTCATGTAGACGTATTTGGGGGTGATGTTGCCTGGTCAATGGACGGAGGCGATTTCGGTCTTTTTCATGAAAAGCCCTTAAAGGATTTCTTTAAGTTATTAATTCAGTATTGAGTTTAGGCTTAGGATTAGGAATCCTTGTAATACTAGATTTTAATTTTTTTTTTAACTGTTTGTGATTTGTGTATTTACTATTATTTTGATGTTTGTATCTCTCTATTTGTTCAATCACCTAATACTTACCAGTTGATGATGGTACTGCCATTAATTGAAACAATCAGAATAGCAACCGCATTCTGCCAACCAACATCTGTAAAACCCCCCATTAACATCCACAGCATCAGACACTTAACATAAATCTGCAGTTGGTCCAGGTGGGCGCTGGCTCCATCCGGAAAGGAAGACTGCTAAGACACTAATAGTGTAGAGCAGCAGCATATACCTAGATCCAAATGGGTATTGGATTCCAAGTCAAATCACAAAGCCCATGCATCACTTAAATAATCACTGTATTTAATTATTTATATGATACTGTTATTGACAAAGTGATTGACCTGCGAAATATTCTCTGTAGGGAAATATTGTCAAAAAAACGCAAACCATCTGATTGAATATGGACAAAACAAACTTTCTACATTGTTTAGAACAATAGATGCCATTCAAAGGCCTCGTTGGGTATCTAGGAGTACCAAACATGAAAAGACTAACATAAACCTATAAGCAAACAGCATTAGGCAGTAGCCAGGAGCAGGTTAAGCCTCCCACAGATTCCCACAACAAAGGCACACTTACTGCTGTAACAAAGCTCACCAAGGACTGGAAAGTCAAGCTGTTGTCAGCACACTGATATGCCAAGTCAGCAGCTGATCTGGAGACAGTAGTGTAAAGTCTTAATAGTTAGACTTTTAAGAGTATAATGATCCAGGAATTTAGGAATCTGTCTGTTACAACTAAATCTGGAGCAATTGCTTCAGCTGTATATATAACCTTGTACTGTAGCCTTGTTAATATGAGAGCCAACGAACTTAACGAAATTTCCGGCTCATATAGTTATAATTGCTATGTCAATTCAATAATAAGAATAAAATTGAAGCGTAAAATTTCAATGGAAAGGCAAGTAGGGGAGTGAATGGGTTGGTGGGTCAGTGGTCCTGGAACGCTGCGTTTAAGATAGAGATGCAGATTAATAACAGTGAGTTTGTAGGTGGGGCTGGGGTAAGCAAAGGATGGGCCAATCCAAGAAAGATGATATTTTAGCCCCACTTTATAAGCAAAACACCACTCGATTTTGTTGTAAATTGTACACAATTTGACTTAAATCGATGCCAATGGAAACTTATTAATTATCTTTCTTTACTAATCTATACTCAAATTGATTCACCCAATTGGGCTACATCCACAAAAGTGGTAAGATAAAGGTTTCCACTATGAAATCAAACAAGTACTACAATGTTTGCTAAGCACTCAACTCCTCTCCCTCAAGCAATCAATGGAGTATCCTAGAGTTCTAAGTTGTGTTGGCACCTTCTTGCTAATGAGTTTCTTGTGCCTCAATTCTCACCTTCTTGCCTTACAAACAACTAGAGCTGGTCAAGGACTTGTCCCAAGTGGGCCTGGGCCTAGGCCCGTTTGGGACTGGTCCCATTTGGGACTGGTCCCATTTGGGACTAGTCGCTCATGGGCCTAGGACTGGTCGCTCATGGGCTTGGGATCGGTCCCAAGCCTATGAGCAATTTCAAGACCCGGACCGGTCCTTAGGATCGGTCCTAGGCCCATAGGATCAGTCCTACGGGCCTGCAAAATCTCATCTTCCCCTTATCTTTTTTATATTTTAGGGGCGAAATGAAATTTTGTAGGGGGTTTATGTAATTTTCAAGGGCAGTATTAAATGCTTAAATTTTATAAAATTTTATTTTAACCCTTACAATTTCGTCAATTTCAAAATTTATAAGGGGTTTTTTGTAATTTTCTAAGAGACTAAAAAAATAAACCAAAAGAGTTTGGGGCCGGGCCTGGGACTGGAGGAGGGCCTTGTGGAAGGACCGAGCTCTCCTCCTTAGGCCTAGTTCGGTTTTGGGACCAGGCCTGCTAGGATCGGGTTTTTGGACTCGATCTGAAATGCCCAGCTCTACAAACAACTCTCACTAAACTCTTGTGTTAACTCTCTAGAGCTCAAAAATACGTTTATATAGTTGCTAGGATGTTCCCATCTTGCCCCTGATGCTTAACCTTCAAAAAACCTTCAAACATGAAACTTTTCATCACTTCACAAAGTTTGTTCACTAGAATCACTACAACAAACTTGATTTGCTATATCATATTTTTTTTTTTTTTTTTGGTGATTAATTGAAGTACGCCCAAACAAACCGACTCATATACCACGGTCATAAAAAATATATCAAGAATTTTCTTGCAATAGCTATTTAGGTTCTGATTTTGGTAGCGAAAAAGCTTCATAAAAAGATTCAATACAACAAAAAATATTCACTATACTGAATCCATCTTTCCAAACTCCGTTGCCGCCAACTATCTTACCAAATGCAATTCAATTCCTCCAAAATCCCGATTGCCATCGAGGGAAAGATTTTTATATTAAAGTTTAGCTAAATCGAATAGAATTATCATAAGTTTAATTTTCATCTTAGGTTACGATTATAAATTACTTTTGTTGTAAGTGAATGCTGAAACGGCGTCGT